AAGAGAATATAGTGGCTAGCTCAGACGTCTTGATTCAATAAAAATCAGAGTTACCCTGAAACATAGAGAGCTTTTAATGTTGACGAGTATCTGATCTTGATGAAAACCAAAGGAAAACGGGTAGATGAAGTGCTCTGAGTTTTATGAGTCATCATCTCCCAACAACTAAGCAAATGAAGAGGAGTGCTGACCTCAAGAGAAACTATAGCCTTGGTTCGCGGGACAACAACCGAAGGAATCATAGGGGGACACTAAGACATTGGGACTCATGGTGGAGAAGTAAGATACCCGGATACCAAGGATTGAGACATATCTCAGGCAAACAAGGAAACATGATGATGAGCATAAATTGTTGAACAAAATATGGAAGGCAGCATTGGAACCGCTGGCACTTGCAGCTTGCTGAAGAGGTGCTTACTCAAACACCAACTCATCGGTCAAACCTAAACATAGGAAGCAGTTGTGTGACTTGGGTCACATGCGTGCGAGCGATTGTGGTGAAATGGGTGAGTGCAAGAGCACCATAGGATACGAGCAATGGGAAAGAAGGAACTTGTACGTGTGTAAGAGCTTACAAGTCTGACTGAGTGTGGTTTAGCCCAAAAAATGAGATGGGCATAGTGGTGACATTGTAGACAAACGGGACTTATCTTCAACGTGAAAAATATATTCCAAAGGAAACTCATGTTTATTGAATAGTTATTTTTAATTGTATTATTGAAATTATGAACACCATCGTCTTATTTTGAATTTTAGATTTCTTTTTCTTAAGGATTTTATAGTTTTTTCTTGGTGGTTTGCTGTCTGATATCTCATTTGTTTTTTGATTATCTTATTTTCTGCCTTTTTCACAATCCTACTTTTTGTATTGCATCATGTTTCTATTGGAAATCCTTCATTAATGGCTGTATCTTTTCGATGACTATTAACTGAAGAATTAGCCCAGGATAAATTTTTTGAGTTAGGAAAGATTGAGGTGATGGTTTTCCTTCCTGGGATTGTTGCTATTTTTAGTCTTGAAGACTTTCTTTGGGCTACCAGTTGGGCGGCAAAGCAATTTGTAGTTGAGCCGCACTTTATCCCGTCATCCATGACTCTTTTGTTTATCTTAAGCATGATTAAGGGTAGGTGTGGATTCAGGAATCGTGGAGTTGTTGATGGTCAGATATTATTTTATACCCATTTATTTTTATAAACAGCCCATTTAGTTTTGTAAATAGTTATCTGATTTGCTTGAATGAGCTTCTTGATCTACTTATTACTATTACAATCTTTTGTTCTTTTATTCTGATATAGTCTACTAACTGAACGGCTTTCAGTCTATGGTGAAATTTTGGGTATGAAGCCTACTAAAGATCAAATATAAACGCATGTTTAATGATGTTCTAATGAGTGATTAATGGGTAGTTAATGTAATTTTCTTTCCAAAGGTTGCTATCATATTTGCTTCCTGATATCACTGTTTCATTTAATTTGCATTCTACTTTCATTTATTTTAGTTATCTTTTCTAGATTTGCAATTACCAAAAAATGAGAGCACCTTGTCACGGACAAATAGTCCCACATTGGCTAGGTGTAGGGCCGAAAAGCAGTATTTAAGTCCTGGGCTGCCCACCACCCACAAGGGCTCTTTTGGGAGGTGACAAGTGGTATCAGAGCAGAGTACTGCCTGCCAGGTGTGTGGACTCTCCATGGTCCAGTGGGCTCCCTCGCGATCCGTGACGAGGGCGTCACGTGATTGGGTGGAGGAGAATGTCACGGACAAATAGTCCCACATTGGCTAGGTGTAGGGCCGAAAAGCAGTATTTAAGTCCTGGGCTGCCCACCACCCACAAGGGCTCTTTTGGGAGGTGACAACCTGCTATTAAGTGCTTGCTATTTACAATCTTACATTTTTATGAGCAATGCTATTATGCTACACCCCAAAAGAAATATGCTTAAAATGGGTATTGATATGCAGGTGATGTGACGTATTAATTTTATGAATAAGCTGGGGCTTATATTAAACGGGGAAGTTGATACAGGCTTCAGGGAAGCCCCATTTTAAGTGTGGATTTCTTTGGGGAGGGAAGCATTCTTCTGTATTCATGTTCTGCAATCGCTGTGATTGAGTGCTTGTGAAGCTCTTTTTACATCTTTGACGTAATACTTGTGAATTTTATTAAATTTACATCATTCTTATGTAATTTAAAACTTGGTGCAATAAATGTATCCCATTGCACAATTTCTTATATTCGTTTTGCTTTACTATTTACAAATGATATTATCTCTACACCTCAGTGAAATCTTACATAATCTGTTGGTGCAAATTAAACTTTTCAGGACAAAGTATGCTATACATGTGGTCATACTGGATTTGCCGATTTCATTGCAACCTGTTCTCTTTGTAAAGTGTCCCATGCACACACGTATGCTCAATATTTTTCTATGAATCTATTTTATCATGATGGTGAAGTAATGGCTTACGAAACAGGTTTGAGATGTCAAGATTGGTATTGCCATTTGGACATTTTTCAGTGTAGATATTTTGATGTGTCTTCAGATAATCAATAAAGGGGGTTTCCTTGGGGATTATTTAGTTGATTGTAAAGGTATGATATGTTCTGGAAAATGAAGATTTCAATTTCATTCATTTTCAGTGTGAAAATGAAATCACACTTCTAAGGGAGTTTGGGGAAGGTTTTTAGAGTTTGAAATTAATGTTTATGTCTAAATTTGTCTAACCAAGTGGTGGATTCAACAAACGTCATTGTTTTTAATTACACGACTTTATTAAGGAATATTTTTACAAACTTCATAGTTTACTTTTTTTTTTTTTTGGTTCAATCTCTCCAGCAAGCCGAGCTAAACATAATAGACTGAATTTGTTTGCTTACCTTATCTCATCTTGGCCTATGCAATTCAAATACTTCCCAAAGCTGCTCAACTGTAGTGGTGTAGTTATTTTTCTATATTTAATCTGTCCTTCAACGGATACAATAATAAATTTTGTGATGTTTTTTTTGTGTTTGGGTATCATTCCACTAAGGAATTGTTACTTGAAGTTGTAGCAATCGCCTCTTTCAGCTGCACTTCCTTTCATTCTATATTCATATGCTTATTTGTTAGTCTAAGTTTGTCATTAAAACAAATGCTTCTGTTATGGATATTAGGAATGCTTGTAGACAAATCATATTGGCCCCATATTTTCTTTTTCTGTGTGTGGTGACATCTCCGTAAATTTCACATCAAATATGATTTTTATTTTTAGGCGTGCATTTTCTGTAGCTTTGTTTCATTTACGTAAGAATTTGTCTTTGGAGCTTGGTCTTTCCATCCTCTTCTCCGAGCTTGTGTTTTCCAGCATTGCATTAGCCTGTATTTATTTATTTTTAGTCTCATATGAATTAAACATATCGCATCGCATTATATTCTGTTATTATAAATAACAATGATCTTTTTTTTTTTCTTTTTTTGGTGAACGCATGCATGGTTTCCTTGGTATTGTTTTTTGCGACCAACTTTTTTTGCTCATATGAATTGTATATACTGCTTTTGATGAAGATATGCCACACTAGATACCGGTAAGCTAAAGTGGTGATTTGTCACAAATTTGAACAAAAATTAAGCCAAATTTTATATTTCTTTTAGCAAATAGCACAACTTTTTTGTGTGCCCACTACATGTTTTTCTTTAAGTAAAATAACGCTTTTGATGAAGATGCACAACGCTAGTTTTCAATTAGGGAAACCTGTAAAGATGTTTCACAATTATGGGTAAGCTGTTGACCAAACTTTATATTTAGTAATACGAAATACAACAACAACAACAACAACAACAACAACAACAAAGCCTTAATCCCACTACGTGGGTTCGGCTACATGAATCCTTTTTCTCCATTGCGTCCTATTTAGTGTCATATTTTCATTTAGTTCTAGTAAGTTAAGATCATTTTTAATACAATAAGCCCAAGTCTTCCTAGGTTTACTCCGTCTTTCTTAACACAAGTCGAATCTAAAACATGTCTCCTAATCAGATCATCAGATGGTTGACGTTTAATGTAACCAAATCATCTATAAGACGACTTTCTCTAATTTTGTCCGTCATAGGAGCTTGTCGGCACAAAAAAAAGAAAGAAAAAGATTGGTTGGGGGGTCGCCCGTAAGAAGCTGTCGGCAGCCTGAATCGAAATCCCGTCACCCGCTTCGGAAGGACTTTTTAATTTACGTATATATATATATATGTAAATTATATATATATATATATATATATATAATTTTAGAAAAATATGAAATCAAACTGACCTCATATTTT